GTGCTATAACTATCATTTCCCTATGTTCTTCACCATATTTTCCCATTTAAAGGTTAGGATGTGCCCAAAAAAAGCAGAGGCTCACCCTGGCAATTCCGTCCATGGACTTCACCCTTCAGGGTTTGAATTTGGGGTTGATATCATGGGTCAAATTTTTCAGACCGGACCAGAGATTGAAATGTCTATTAGTATTAACCATCCAATGATATACCGAATTTTGACTCATACCATCTCATATCAACGAGCAAAGATTGAGACAGAGGGATATAGGAAAAGTGGAACATCATGAAACATTTTATCTGAGCAGTGTTTAAAACCACGGTTGGTTGATGATTAGTTCGGGGAGTATGCGAACCTCGACAAAAAATTGGGGATTATCACAATCCATGAACGGTAATCCTGTTCTTAACCAATCATTTTTCAAGAGACGACGTTGCCGGTTTTTAACACGGCCCAAGTTAGTTGTATTCAAGCATTAGAAATAGGTATTTAATGGGATCGGATAATCATGTCGATATTTAAGGGCATTGTAACACCAGTAGCACCAAGTATAATCAACAGTTGGATGATATCATTTTGGGGTAATTGGATGAACCAATTGGCGAGATGGATCGGCGCGAAGTTATACAACTTACCCTCCAGTGAGTTCCGTCGGGAGCCATGGTACGTTTAGCCTCCAGTTATGAGAGATTTAAGCCAGCTATGTTACCCTCTGGTAAACAAACATGACATAGCTATTGAAGCCATGGCCATTTAATTGTAGTGGATTTTCCATGATTTTCCAATTAAAAATGGTCATTTTCCATAGTTATGTAAACGTTTACCAGAGGGTAAATTACCAGGGGGTAACTCCGAGTTTGAATCCCACAATGTGAACGGATGAAGAAGCCCCAAGCGGCTCTCAGGGCTGTTTTTCATTGGGGGGGTACCATTTCGGTAGCCATAAAAATGACAAAAATTGGGAGAACCACCACAAAAAAAATCAACCAGGGTTTATGAATTCGGGGTTGACATTACAAAATCATTTGTTGTTGGCGAACTACAAAACGAGTGTAGTCATCTTCCCATCTTTTCGTATGACCGGCTTCGCGGCTTACCCTGCCTGGCGAGTCAATCTGAGCGCTCATTTGAATAATTTCAATAGTGAAATGTGTGGCAATGCCGCAATGACATCAGTTCACCTCTCAACTTGAAGCCCAACTTGAAGGTGTAATTCTCAATGTCACTTTTGAATAGTGGTTGAATAGAGGTTGCGGTGTTCTTTTTTTTCCCAACCATGTTGTATGAATTTGGATCGAACATGGAAGATCATCCACCCAATGCATGGCCATTTGAACGTGGTTTTGATGATGATCGATGTAAGGATCGGTATCACCGTTAATGTTTAACAAGAGATTCCCATTCCTGAAAGCCTATTTCCCCACATTGACGTGTGGGGTTTTTGTTTTTAGTGCTGTATCCGCTCCTGCCTCCTTCCTTCCTCCCGCCTGTCCTGACATCCTCCCACACACAATATCATCAAGCATCACATCCAATACATCACTCACTCACGCACACACACACACACGTAATCACTCACACACACACACACATCACATCACATCACATCACTCACACTCACACTCACACACACACACATCACATCACTCACACTCACACTCACACTCACACTCACACCCACACACACACACATACATACACACACACACAAGCCCCTCTGCACTCAAAGAAGTGTCTCAAAGGTTGAGGAAACCTCAGGTCAGGTAGCTCCGGCACGTTCTGTTTCCTGAGCCATTTCGCTTGCGCCTCTGGTTTGGATGATTCATTGGCTGTTGCTTTCATCACTTTTTTTACACGCTGCTTTGCAGAATTTTGGACAGATATTGATCTCAATCTGCGGGGTTGGCTCCCGGACATTCTGCACTACTGGCCAGAGATCACCTGTTCATTTTCCTACATGTGGCGGACTTGCAGAAGGCAGCACTTGCATTCTGAACCCTGCTGGTGACACGGGACAACAGGCTAATCGACATCCAAGACATTGGATAGCATTGCCGGGAACTCCTGACATCCTCTCCTTGAACAGCAGACCCGGTCCCAAGTCCGGGCATACCAATTCTTTGACAATTGCAATCAAGTGGACAATGCACGATGACCAGCAGTGTTTGCAATTCACGATGCATACCCAAGGGTATGGGGGTGAGGGTTGTCTCCCATTGCCTTGGTGGGAGACAGGAACCGGAAACAACAATAGCTTCAATGCCGAGGACCTGAACCAGCTATATCCGGTGAAACAACAAGACAATGTGCCACAGATGAGCTTCGGCTCCAAGCGCTGCCCTTTGATGACCACTGACATGCGCAGCACAATGAAACGGAGTTTACGACGAGCTTGCAACAGAGCAGCTACAGATGGATTTGCATGGTATCGTGGAAACTACATTCCGTATGAGGCTTTTCCACTGACCCTGAGGCAACAAACCAATCCATTGCCCAGATCAACAAGGAGATCTTCAGGAGCTGAACATCCTAGAGTTACACCACGACACAGAATGAATGTCCTACATCTGAATGTAGGTGGACTGTCCACAGAACGTTTGGCAGAGATCCAAACCTGGTCCCAACTTCGAGACGTGGACATTGTGGTCCTGACTGAAACCCGATGGCAATTCTCATCGGAATGGTCCAATCAAAAATGGAACTTTGTACATAGCGGTTCCAGTGATGACAGGAGTGATGGTATTCTCATTCTGCTTCGTCGACACATGTGTTCCTCAGAATGCATAGGCATAACTGAACATCTTGTTGGACGCCTTATACAGATTAGAATTCATTTTCAAGCTCGATCCTTTGACCTTTTTTGCTGTTATCAATACGTTGACAACAGAAGTCTCACCACGAAGCAACAACGTTCCCTTTTTTGGTCTACTCTGCAACAGGGTTTAGACAATGTACCCAATCGGAACTCACTACTGATAGCAGGAGATTTCAATTGCTCCCTTCAACAAGATGGACATCATGTTGGCACGACCCATTTCAAATTGTGCAATGCGAAGCAGACAGGCAGACAACATTCTGATGCCAAGATCTTTCATGAGCTCCTTCATCGTTTTGATCTAACTGTTCTGAATAGCTGGAATGCCGCTGCGCCACCGACATTTTGCAATGGATACCTTGCCTCCCGAATTGATTTCTTCATCACTCGACATGCTGATAGTGATTTGTTTTCCAAGCAAGTTGCCTATCACCCTGACGCTGAGTATCTTCCTTTGAGCGGAGCCATGCACATACCTATACTGTGCACAATTAGGAAGATTCCCTATGTTTTCACCAAACGCGCAGGCATGCCAACATGTAACTATAGGCAACGGCTTCAATGCAGAACGGTTTCGAAGACTGATCCACAACTTTGGACTCAATTGCAACATCAGATTTATAACAAGCTTCATGAGTTTCAACAACACACCCATGCTGATACCTGTTTTATTGATGATGTGCACTCCTGTATCATGCCCATTTTTCAACAATTTTTTCCGAAAACTTGCGTGACCCACAACAATGGTCCTGCTACTGACATCATTGAGTCCAAGTGGATGCATCGTCGACAGTTGCTGGCATTATCTTTCCCTACGCTCAAGAACATGTACAGAGCCTGGTATCACCTGGCAAAGTTCTCACGATTGAAAAAGCAACATCGAGAACATGTCAAACAGCTCAAAAAACAGCAGCTTCAAGATCTCCTCACTGAGGTAGACACAGCCGCTGCACGTTTTGACAGCTTTCAATTGTTTCAAATTATCAACCGTTACTCCCCAAAACAACCCAGAAAGAAAATCAGATTGAGAAGAGCTGATGGAGCACCAGCCTCAACTGCTGATGCCAGACAACTTACCACCGATTTTATCAAAACAAAATGGGCTGGACCCACAACTGTGAATCTTCCCGCTTACCCTTTACAACAACTTCCCTTCACGGCTGATGAGTTGGAACAAGAGATTGCTCGAATCCCAGCTGTCAAATCCGTAGCACCACAGTTTTTGCCAGGCATTATTTGGAAGAATGCATCCGCACAGATTGCACGAATATTGTATAGCCAATTAAATCTTTGGTGGACGACCAACCACATTTTTGTACCAGCACAGTGGCGTCATGCCTGGATAGCATTCCTTCCCAAACCCAATAAAATTCCCTGTCAACTGGATCATCTCCGAGCCATTGCATTGATGGAGCCACTAGGTAAAAGTGTGCTTGGAATCATCACATCCAAATTCAAAGACTCTTTGTATCCTATTGTCTCACAATGGCCCCGATTTGCATATATTTCTCACAGATCATCCAGTGATGCTATCCGAAGGGTAACAGAACACTGCACCGAAACCAGGCAGCTCTTGCGCAATCAACAGAGGAATGTACATCAGCGGGCAGCCAATCTTCCTTCATTTGTTATTTGTGGAGGAATACAGATGTTTTTAGACATCAGTCGTGCCTTCGATGTCATTCCTCGCCAACCACTTTTCGATCACCTCAGCGCTCTTGCAGTTGACCAGGAACTTGTTTCCATTCTAGGTGCATGGCACTCTGATACTGCGTACATCACACAACATGATCAAACTTTTGTTGAGACACCAACAGGTTGCGGAATCAGACAGGGGTGCCGTGCAGCGCCGGTCCTATGGACGGGCTTTACCAATCTCATTTTTGAAACCCTGTCCACTGAAATTGAGGCAGCCTGGATCAGGAAAGCCATAACGATATATGCAGACGACATTCATGGTGCAGCAGTTTTTCATTCGGAATGGGAATTGACAGACATCTTACACAAATTTGGAATCATTTTGGATGTCATTGAAAGGCATGGACTGACCATCTCACTACACAAATCCATGCTGCTGATCTCCTTTGGAGGTACTAATTACAGAAAGGTTCAAACCAGAGTGGTGCAAAGAGATGACCACGGCTTCTTTGTCAACATACCCAGAGCAGGTGGACGCGTCTCGAAAATGCCGGTGCACAAAACTGCGTGTTACCTGGGTGTTCAGATGTCCTACACCATGACAGAGAAGCTGACGTTGCAACATCGCATGAAAGCGGCCAGACAAGCTTTTTTTCGACTGAGAAGATGGCTCAGAGCGCGACAACTACGGTTACAGACCAAGTTACATCTCTGGCACTCCAGCATCTATACCACGTTAATCTACGGTTTGTTTGCCACAAACATCACCTTTCCAGGACTTTTTCAACTATATACATTTGTATTGCAACATTTCAGGCAGATCACAGGGAACCACAGTTTTCTGACCGGGCTCACACACTCCCAATTTCTGCTGCAATTTGACCTTCGACATCCGTTTGCCATGCTGATGCACTCCATCCAACAGCTGCGCAGCCTACAGTGTCAGAGACTCATGCATTTGGGACCCAGGGATATTTTACACACAGTTGATTGGACCAATTTGCACTGCCTGGAGATGCTCATCCAAAGTGCCTGGACCACTCAGGACCCCAACATGGACCAACTGCTGCCTCCTCTGAATGCGGAGGTCCACTACAGATTCTTTGCATGTGAATGGTGCTCACAACGTTTTGACAGCCTCCCCAACTTGCGGAGACATCAAACTCATGTACATGGACATACACAACTTCGAACACACCAGATCAATCCTGCCTCATTTGCACTCAACGGACTTCCCATTTGTTCACATTGTCATAAAACTTTCAGCACATGGCGCCGATTTCGGATCCATCTTGAACGGAACTGCTGTCAGGCCTCTACAGGTGCTACCAGCTCCTCAGCACAGAGAAGCACTCAGGAGACTCCCCAACATGGACTGTCTCGCAATGATCTCACCCTGCTGATGAGCAAATCCTATGGACCTACCTTGCTGCAAGCTGTGCACCAGCGCGCATGGGCTTCACTGAGGGCACTTGCACAGGCACATTCAGACTTGCGCAATTATTGCATCCTCTGCGGAGTTTACCATGGTAGGCCGCAGGAATTGAACATGCACATACGCACACAACACGCACAATATGTGGCCAATGTTTTTGCCAAAGCAGCACAGCTTGGGAGAATGCAAGCATCCATTACACCCTGTTTTTATTGCAACAAACAGTTCCTACGCCATCATCAATGTCCCTTCTGGACTCAGATAGCTCTCCTCTTGGTGAATCTACCTACAGGTGATGCTCCTGGCGCAGATGTTGTTCTCCAATGCGAAATTTGCAGACAGCAGTTCGAGGCCATATCCACACTTCATGATCATCTCTTCACTGAACACAGGTTAGAAGTACATGATTGGCTGCCCAACAGAGACCTGTTAGGAGCAGATCCAGTCTGCTCGCACTGCTTAGCCTGTTTCGCAGAAAAATCTGCCGTCAGGCAGCACATCACGAGGGGACTCTGCCCAAGCTTCAATGCGGCCAAGCCGATGGAGGAACTATCGGTGCCACCCAGCTTGCATCAAATCATCCTACATGGAGATCTGGGACTATTGCAGAAATCACCAATGTTGCGTCTTTCCATGACCCTGCACTGCCAGCTTTGCGGAGTTAGGTTCGAACGCCAACAAGATCTCTCACTACATCTTCAGACGGTTCATGTAGACAGATGGACTCAGACTCAGACTACACTACATCTCTTGCTGCAAGTTGGCACATTGGACAACACATGCATTTGCAATCCACAGACAACAACAAGGGGGGTCTCCCATGTGTGCCCTGCGTATAGGCAACTTTCGATGCTTGCGCAGAAGGTGGATCATGAGCTCTTTCTGCCATGGACCTTTGACATGGAAGGCACCAGAACATTCCTGACTTGCGTTCAGAATCATGCAGTCATTGACACCATCTTGACACAGCTTGAACACAGACAGTTTTCAGCTCTCTGGCACAACATCAGCGTTTGCAAACTGCTCAGCAGCACATGTTTGATTTGCGGAGGCATCTTTCATCCAGCCGTCCTCTGCGAACATGTGAAGGCTATGCATTTTCACTCATGCACATGGATTCCTGACCTGATGCCTCAATTGCTGCCAGAATTCTTGAAACATCAGCTCTGTGACTTTCAGTGTCGATCATGCGAACTTGTGTACAACTTGCCCATGCAGACAGAATGGACTCCAGAGCAGTTGCAACAGCGCCAGCAACTGGTTCAAATACATGCACAGCATCACTGCCCAGTAGTGTACCAGCTTGGCCTTCTTCTGACTCATGGATTACCAAGCCGAGCCGGTGGACACTCAGATGGGCGATGCCGAGATCCTGGAAGCCTTCAAGGCGATGGGGCCCCTCCTGATGCAGGACTAGTATCAGCGCGACACAAAAGAAGAAAAAGATCCCAAAAAACACAAGAGGGATCACCATCAGGAATCACAGACCGGGACAACCGACGTGGCCAAATTGGTGCGCCTCATGGGCAACATTCTGCTGCGCCTGGACTCCGACAACCAACTGATGAAAAAGCAAGACTCTTTCGTCTTCTTTCTTCAAACAGCCGCCCCAGCTTTGTTGCCTCACTTGATGACGAAAGCGAAGGAGTGGCACATGCAGATGAAACAGAGGACCCAGGCCACAGAGGAGCTGCCGCCATACACCCCATTGCGTATGGTTCTATTTCAGGATCTGACGAGCATGTTGGAGGACAGAGTACTCAAGCTGTCGAAGGCTGGACAGGAGGACGAACTGTGGCAGACAGCTCTGCACCACGGCGTCATCACAGCGGAAGGAGGCTTCCCCTTCCAACGATGGAGTCAAATGCAGAAGATGTTGGTCCCGACGAAGAAAGATCACATCACGATGAGCAGGATGATCAAGTACATGGAGCAGCTCAAACAGATATCCAGCGATCAGAATGCCATCCAGAAATTTCATGCGTTGAGACCGGCAGAAAACCAACAGACAGTCCCCTGGATCCTTCAGACGGGCATGAGACACGACGAACTCCAATCCTTGCTGGAGACACTACAGGGGTCGACGGTATGGGGGCTCATTGGTGCAACGATGAAGCCTCACTCACAGACGCAGAGCAAGCAATGTCAGGAGCTACAACAAATGTTGGGGAAGGGCAAGGGCAAACAGAAAGGGCACCCTGCGAAACCCAAAGGGCAGGGCAAACAGACCCGACCACGCTGATGCCACCCTCAGCTCATCAACTTCGAGAAGGATTTGCAGCCATGATCCTCATCAATCTCGAAAACTGGTGCTACGCCAACACAGCGATTCTGACACTTCTGTGGGCCCTTTTGTCCTGCAGCACATACTCCAATATGGAGTGGGGACCACATGGACCTGACATTGTCCGTTTTCTGCATACTGCACTGCAGAAACCAGTTCATTTACCAGATCTAGATTGGTTTCAAAGTCTAATTGCTTCCTGGCATGGTGCAGACGAACAATGTGATCCAGTGGAATTTTTGACTCATCTTGTTCAGGGGCTTCAAGTACCAGGCATTGACTGGTCATGGGAAAGACGTGTACTATTGGGGTCAGACATCAGCGTCCGAGACAAAAGCGCTAACCATGTCCCAATTACGTTGCACATTGACCCTGAACTCTCATGCAGGATGGATCAGACTGGATGACATGATTCACACATGGTTCAACTACATGGGCATGCAGACTGCACTCACAGGAAGCACACCCATCATTTGTTTCCATGTTGATCGGCACGTGATGGCAGGCGATGGAACCACCCACAAGTCAGACCTCTCAATTGGTATGCATGGTGTTTTTTCGGTACCATTTTTCACCAATGACCGAACAGAGCTGGCATGGAATGACTACCGTGTGGTGGCCGCAATTGCACACCTAGGTGACGATCAAGCAGGACACTGTCGTGCCACACTGCGAGTACAGGCTGATGTCAATCACCAGCCGCCATACATGCAGCTGCTCACAGATGACAATGCTCAACCTTCCAGGTGCTGGCATGAACCAGGGTGGTTCCTGCAAAATGTCATTTGCATTTGGCTGTGCAGTGTGGACACACTTGAACTGCATTCGTGTTCCAACCCTTCACCCATGCTGCCTGATGACCACATACCCCCAAATGATGCCTTGATGCGATTGCTTCGACAGTTTGGTTGATTCTCAGACCCGGCCATGACAGTTGTATCCATTGAGTTGTCTCACCATTTGCATCACCACAGCCGTAAAGGGACCTCTTTTTAGCCATACTTTAGTTTGAAGAGAAGACAAAAAAAAAACTGACGCAGTGAGGTCGGCGCCACACTCGAACCATTTTGCTTCTGTCATGCTTGCCCATAGCTCGCAGCCCTTTTGGCGATGTGCACGTCCATTTTGGACCAGCCTAGCAGGTGAACATCCCACTGTGTACATGATCTGAACTCCAGACCTGCCATTTTGGCAACAGCAACTGGCCATTTTGGCCCTGCCTAGAAGGCGCCTCCTAATCGAATTCCGACCCTTGCCAGGATGGTGTGCCCTACACATCCGACCTCCCCCCCCTAGTTGGCCCGTTGGTATCCCCAACGTGTACCCCTGTTGAAGTAAAGACTGGTCCAAGAGGCAACGCCCAACGTGTCAAGAAGGCCAGTATTAAAAAAAAAAACAATAAAAAAAAGAAAGAAAAAAAACGCTGTTGCTTCTTCATCGTAGTCTTGTTAGCTCCAGTCTCACTGTACAGAGTTTCACATTCAAAAAAAAAAAGAGGGCTATGGACCCCAACAAGCTGTTGCTTGCCTCATGCCAAGAAGAAGAAAAAAAAAGTAGGATAGACCGGTCTCACTGTACAGAGTCTCACCATCATTCCAAGTAGGACCCCATGCACCCCAGCGCCCGCTGGCAGATCCCCCAGTTGCCTTTTTTCATGCCCGTCGAAACCCGACGTGTACCCCCAGATATTAAAAAAAAAAGAGGGCTCCAATCGCCCCAACAAGCTGTTGCTTCCTCCTATTTAAAAAAAAAAACTGGTCCAAGAGGCGACGCCCACTGTTTCACGAAGGCCAGTATTTAAAAAAAAACCAATGACCGGTCTTAGACGAGCGACTTCTCCCTAGATCAATTTTTTTCACGGCTTACCCAAAGCCACATAGATGTGCCACTGTGCACTCATCCCATCAAGCCTGCCTGTACATCCGTAGAACACCACTAGCTTTTGTGCATATGCATGCTAGATAGGCGGCAGCAAAAAGACCCTTCAACAGGGCCGTCAGATAAAGGACTGACGTGGCACGCGCGAGACTTTTCCCCAGAAAAGGTGCGTAGGAAAACACACACACACACAAGCCCCTTTGCGGTCGCGAGTACCGCACTCAAAAGGCGAGGAGCCTTGCGCCCCATGATCGTTCAGTTTCGCGCTGGCATATCGAATTGCTGCGTTGCTGTGCAGCTGGGCGGCCCCTGCTGGGGGTAGGCGGACATCACGGCGCTTTTGGCGGCGCTGCTGATTTTTCTCCTGGCGCTTCGGCTGCTGCTTCGATTAGGGGGTGGGTTCCCCGTACAACAGCTTTCACTGACCCTTGTGCATTTTACAGGGTGGGCTCCTGGATCAATAATTTTTTCTGGCCCGGTGTGGAACTTGTGGTGGAACTTTTTGGTCTTCCTTGCATCTACTATCTGTAATTTTACCTTCCTGCTGGCTAAAGTGCCCTTGAAGGGTTACAGCGTCCTTCGAGACAATTTGGAACAGAAATTTTGTCCTTGGATTACAGATTTCCTCCAGGACCTTGCGAAGATCATTTACCTTTTGAGTGCTCAGAATTTTCTGAATTTGACTGCAACCTGGTCCCAAGTCCAGGGGGTACACCGTGTTCCACGACGTTGGATTATCTGCTGCAGCTTCATTGCCATTGGCATCCATTTGCTGTCAGGTGTACCTTGGGGTGAGGGTTTCACCATTTCTATGGATGGTGAGAGAGTCACCTTGGAATTGTATCCCTTGGTGACGAAAGCACATAGAGAGGAGCCCAAGGCGGTCTTTGGACCAAAGAGCTATGCGAGATCGACGGTAAAGAGAAGCTACAGGAGGGCGGTCAAACGCTCCATCACCAATGGATTTACCTGGTACAGAGGCAAGCTGTTCACAACTCCAAAGCGATTCCCTTCCAATTGGATACCATCATCTCCATCGTGGCCACCACAATCCGAGCAGCCACAACCAAAACGGCATCAGCGACGTCGATTACTGTGCCTGTCCTGGAACAGTGGTGGCCTTGCACAGGCATCATGGGATATGTTTCAACAATGGGCTGAAAACCAACATGTTGATTTCATTACCCTGCAAGAAACCCACTGGCCATTTACTTCTGAGTGGACACAATCACAATTTCATTGTCTCCACAGTGGTTTTTCGAGTCGCCAGGCTGGACTCCTTTGCATGGTCTCCAAACGGTTGTGTCAGGCACATCAAATTTCTTGGACTGAAATTGAACCTGGACGGCTGATTCACATACGTATTCATGGCACATCTAGGAGCATTGATTTCTTGGTCATTTACCAACATGTTCACTCTGGGGACAGACTGATCAAACGACAACTTCTTTTAGATCGATTGAATGACGTCTTGAGCAAGATCCCGCAGCGTAACATGCTGGTACTTCTTGGTGATTTCAATACCTCCTTGCTGCACAGATCGAAAGTGGTGGGCAACGGGCATTTCATGCACAATGGACAGCGTTGCACAGGCACGATCCATTCCGATTCACATGAACTACATGATTTGTTGCGTCAACATTCACTTCTTGCCTTGAATACATGGATGACTGACAATCCTGCAACCTTTGCACATGGACAAGTAGCATCCAGGATCGACTATGTGTGTTGTCGACAAGTTCATGCAGATCACACTGCCAAGCAGGTACAGGTCATGGATGATTTTTTCATGCGCAGTGCAACAGGGGCACAACATGCACCTCTTCTGGTATCCCTTCTCAGGCATTGGACTCCACCATCACGGCAAGTCTTTGCAAACAGCTGGACCTACAGGCAACGATTGGAGTTGTACAATCGATGGGATCAACAAGATTCTTTCATGCTAGGCCTGCAGCTGGATATTCAGAACAGCGTTGCTCAACTACCTGTTGATGCTGGTTCACTTGCAGCACTACACTCAGTCATGAATCAGATCAATGCCACTGACTTCAACACAGGGCGTGATGCACCGGTCCATCACTATGATTTGACACCCTTTTAGGCCTTTCAACATCATGAACGGCGGCTACGTGCATTACCCCTGGATGGCTGTGATCTTACCACATTATTTCAGGCATGGTTTCACATTTCCAAGAGACTCCAAGCACGCAGACAGATGAATACCACTGCCAAACAATCACGTCGGAACAAAATGCAGAAAATCTTTGATCAGGCCGATGCTGCAGAAAGGTCTCAAGACCACTTCAGACTCTATCAAGCGGTGCGTGCCCTGGCACCCAAGCAGAAGCTGCAGAGGATTCAGTTGCGACATGCTGGCGGCACACTGGCCAACCCGTCTCAGGCGGCCAACATGCTACAGCAATGGTACGAAGATCTGTACCATGCACCAGCCTCAGACTATGATGTGGTTCCTTTTAATTGGCCTTTTTCAGCAGACGAACTTTTGAAAGGATTTCTGCAACTTCCCATGATGAAATCTCTGGCACCATCATTTGCACCAGCACCAATTTGGCGCATAGGGGCTTGGGCCGTGGTTGAATTTTTGCAACCACTCCTTCACCGCTGGAGCGCAGCTGGCAGGTTACCAAGGGAGTGGAGTGACGCCTTTTTGACATTTCTACCCAAACCGGGTGGCAGTGGAGGAGACCCAGCACAGTTGAGACCTATTTCACTGTTGGAACCATCTGGCAAAGTGATTCTTGGATTGGCTGCCAAATGTCTATTGAAGGAGTCATGGTGGCTTCTTCAAATGGTACCACAGTTTGCTTACCTCCCCAGGCGTGGCTGTTCAGATGCAATAGGGCGCTTGATGACACATCTTCGACAGGTTCGACATAGATTGAGTCAGTTGCAATATCCTGTGCACAGAACGGCATCAGGTGAACCAATGCCGGCCCTGTATGGTGGGCTCATCATCTCACTCGACCTTTCGAAGGCCTTCGACCAAGTGAATCGGGCGTTACTTTTCCAGGGGCTCTCTGACATGCAGATATCACCTGATTTGATAGCATTGTTACAACACATCTATCACACCACAGGTTTTGATTTCATTCACAAGGGGGAGTTCAGACATGTGGCAACATTCAAAGGCATCAGACAAGGCTGCAAATGTGCTCCAATTTTATGGGCATTGTATTTCATTCAGATCTTCACTGCTCTGCATGAACATTGCCCTTGGGACTGGCTGCAACGATGCATTACAGCCTTTGCTGACGATATCTGTCAGCACGATGAATTCTGCAGTCCGGAGGACTTTTCGGTGCTGTTGCGACGGGTTGGACATTTGTTGGACTGTTTGGAACAGGCTGGACTGCCTGTCAACTTGAACAAGACAGTGGCGTTGTGCCGCATGACCGGAAAACGATTGCAGAGCATCCAGAAGCGCTACTTTCAAAAAACTGGTCTGGGCATGTTTTTGAAAATACCCAGAATGGACGGCACTGTCACACTGATCAAGTTGGTCCATCAGCATGCATATCTTGGTGTCAAACTTTCCTATTTCAACTTTGAAGCATACACCATGGCACACAGGTTGCAGGCTGGCAAACGTACCCAACAACTGTTGCATAAGTGGCTCCATTTGAAGAGTGGCTTGAAACCTCATCAACGTGTCAAACTTTGGCAACAGTGTGTTCTGTCCAGCTGTTTACATGGTTTGATCCATACAGGTTTTCAGGTTCAACATCTACTTCAATTCCA